TTAGATTCCCATCCTTATCTCTCTTTTCTTTTTATCTATTTTTATGTTATGTACCACCAAATCTGTTTTTCTAGCTCAAGCTCTTCTTTAAGTGACATAATAGCCATCTGTAAGTGTACAGGTCCTTCTGGCTTTTCTCGAATGTCTTGTCTCAGGTATTATTTTCTCTTTCAGATCTTCTCCTTTTTCGTCATTAATAATATCTACATTTTTTGGAGCTAATGAAATTAGAAACTGAAGATAGTTTGTCTTTCAAACAAGTCTTAAAAACAGACTCTGATACTACCCTAAAAGATTTGGTTTATCACTGTGTTAAAATATAAATTGTGCCAGCTCAGCTTGTAACTAATTGCAACCAGTGAAAAATTTTATGCCTTTTCTGGATCTTAGCTTTTTTCATCTGTAAAAATGTTTGAGCCACAATGTTGTTGTGTTCAACTACCATTGAGTCGGTTCTAATGCATAGCGATTCTGTACAGGGTTTCTGAGGAACAGCTAGTGGGTTTGAACCACCTACCTTGCAGTTCAAACTGATCTTTTGGTTCGGTGCTTATCCTATAGCTCCATACTTGGACTCTAGGGGCCAAATAAACACTGCTCCTTTTTTTTTTTTTTTTTTTAATAAATAAGCTCTTATGACTGCTTTTGTGCTAACATGGCAGAGTTGAGTAGTAGCAGGTTTTATGGCCACAAGGCCTAAATACTTCTACTCTCTGGCTCTTTACAGGAAAGTTTTCTGGATCCTGGACTAGAGGATTTGTCATCTAATTTTCATGTCTTAAAAGCTTATGGTTTAGGGAGCTTGGCAGAAGAATGATGAAGATAAATAAAAGACCAGTGAGGTGTCCAAGGCCTAAAAAGGGATAGAGGTAAATAGTGGTATATACACAGCCTTGTTCTGTGTGTAGTTACATGGACAGAGACACAGGCTGAATGGGTATAGGAGGAAGAGTGGGATATGTATATCACACAAATATATAAGAATTTGAAAGAGGATATTTGTACCTGGGTAACCTCAGGGAGGAAGCAGGACAATTGTAATTGCATTGAAAGGCTTGCAATCAATGAACTGAAACAAAGTGTATGATTTGTTGAATGTAGAACTGATGATCTTATCTGTAAACCATTACTCAATTCACAGCAAAGAGTTACAAAACAGCAAAAAAAACTTAAGATTTTCCAAGACCATAAACGATCAAGTCTTGGAATAGACTTGTTCTCTAATGTCTTTTTCAGTTGGTTCATCATTAAAAGTTAGCAACAGAAGTAGGTTCTTGTCTCGTATATTGAGAAGGCCCTTGTCATTATATAATATTCCTCCTCAGGTTTTAAAATTCAAGAGATGTTTATTGTGGTGGTATGTTGAATGTGAAGTAAATCCTGTTGGCCAGGCTAGAGAGAGCCTGGTCTTATGACTTAAAAAAATAAGAAGAAAAAGAATAGAGAAATGTGATAGGAGTTGGGTACTTGGCAAGAGGAATTCAACATGTAGAACATACATTAGGATCTCTTTGCCAATTTTGTTTTTTTTTAATCTCTTTTCCAATTTGACAGCTTTAGTGAGTCAAGGTCTTGTCACTGTAACTATAACAGGAATAAGAAAATCTCCACTGCCACATTGTGCTGACAGACTCTTCATTTGGTTACTTATTTTAAATAATTGATAGTGGATAGATCAAGGATGCCACCTTCCACAGGATTAGCAATTAAAGCTTCTTAAATAGTCACAAATACCTGTATTTCAAGGGCAAAGAACACAGGTAGTTAAAATTCTGACAACTGATTATAATTAAGAGTCTTTTATCAAATATTTCACCATCAAAGCAGGTTATTTCCCATTGTGATAAAAGATTTTTTACATTCTAGATTTTTCTAATTCATTCACTATAGTATATATTGACAGAGGGTTCTAGATATGTAAGAACTGCTTAGGTAAAAAAGTTGTAAATATTATACCTTAATGATATTCTTACTGAAGTATACTATTATCTGTAATTTACTCTGAAATTCATTTAAAAATGAATTCATTTAAAAAACACCATTATCTGGGTGTTGGGCATAAGGGGAGTTCTTTCAACTTTTCTGTGTATTTGGAATTTTCCAAAATAAAATTTTGAGTAATATGTTTATTTCTAAGTGGTTATGAGATGGGGCATTTAAGGAGATAGGTGTGGAGTCAGTAATTGCAAATATATAATTTACCTTCTTGCTTTCACATTAGATTACTAAAAGTTTGCATGTTAAGCAAACCCTGCTTAGATAGCATATGTTTCTTAGTCGTTTCAGTGTGTATTTCACAGATAATTTTCATAAGGAATACTCTCGTCTTAAAGGAACCATGTTGTTGTTAAGTGCTGTCTAGTCAGTTCTGACTCATGTAATGATCCTGTATAAGGTTTCTGACGAGTAACTAGTGGGTTTGAACTACTGACCTTGTGGTCAGAGTCCAGTGCTAATCCTACAGTACCACACCAGAAGTACACTTTGTAACTCTTCAGTTGTCTCACACAGCCCTTATTGGAAAGTTATCTAAAAGGCCGATGAATCTGTGTAATCTCTGTCCACATAGTGAAAGGATGCATTTACTAATAGACATCAAACAACATTCATAGTTTTTGCATTCTTTTCAATTCGTAGAGAGTTAGGAGCATGCCTTGTGTTAGCAGAGTACTGAGTACAAGTGGGTTGGGGTGAGTTAAACAAATACTCACTGATTTGAGCATGCCCATTTTAGAAGTGTCATTTTGTTGATAGCGAAATAGAAACATTATGCAAAGGTTTATTATTTTATTTAAAGCATATAACTTAAGTGAATATCCATGTAACTACAACTCATATTAAGAATTAGAATTTAGAGAAACTGTCTTTGCCCCATCCCAATCAAAGAATGCATTTACTAATGGACATCAAAAAACGAATGAACCAGGCTACACATACCTGATGGATGAACCTCACAAACACAGGACTGAGTTTTCACTCAACGATTTATATAGCTTTGTTGTTAACTTCTCCCACATGTAGTAGGTAAATGTTGTTTTGATTTAAATATAGTTTGACTGGTTTTGAGCTTTATATAAAGCAGTAAGGAGTCCAAGAGTGACACTGTAAGATAAACACTGGATTGCAAGGTTGGTTTGAACAGGAAGATCAGTGGTTCAAACTCACTAGCTGCTCCTTGGAAACCATATACAGGGTCTCTATGAATCAGAACCATCTTGATGACAGTTAACAACAAACAAGGAGCAGCTGGTGGGTTTGAACTGCTGACCTTGTGGTTCCCAATCCAGTGCTGAATCCTCTAAGGTAAATTGGGATTGACTTGATAGCAATGGGTTTTTCGTTTACTACAGTTCTGTTACATTCTTGTTAAATGCCATCTAATCAATTCTGACTCATAGCTCTGTATAGTGTTTCCAAGGAGCAGTTCGTGTGTTTGAACTGCCACTTGTGGTTAGCAGTTCAGTGTTTATCATATAACACCACACCAGGAGTATAGTTTTAAAGGCAGTGAAAGGGTCCCTGTGACACAATGGCTAAGCGCTTGCTTGACTGCTTACAGTAAAACCGGTAGTTTGAACTCACTTGTCAGTCCACAGTATGAAACAGCTGGCAGTCTGCTCCTGTAAAGATGACAGCCAAGGAAACCATATAGGGCAGTTCTTCTAGAGTCACCATGAATTAGAGTCAACTTGACAGCAATGAGGCAATAGAGTGCTTGGTTATATTTTTGTATTATAAGTAGTTAGTTATATTTTATTCAGCACATAAGTTTGTAAGTCCATCAGAGCAGAAAATTCCATCTTCTTTTTTCGCTTCAGAGATCTTAGCACAGGAGACACTTGCTAAATGTTCAAGGAGGGAAAGGAAGTTTTGCTAAGTATTCTATACATCAATATTGATAATATAACCTTTGGCTACATTATCTACTTTCAGTATTTTACTGACTGTAGATAGTTTCCTATAGACAATTTATATTTTGGGCTTTTATTTGCCAAGTGAGGACAAGGTATGTGTTGTTGTTAAGTGCCATCTATTCAGTTCTGACTCATAGAGACTCAGTATAGAGTTTCCAGGAAATGGCTGGAGGGATTAAAATGCCGACTTTGCAGTTCAAACTGACCTTGCCATCTAGTGATTTATCCAAAAGAGCCAAGCCACACCAGAATAGATATTGTTGTTAAGTGTTGTCGAATCGGTTCCAACTCATAGTGACCCTGTATAGGCTTTCTAAGGAGCAGGTGATAGATTTGAACTGCCAACCTTGCAGTCCAGTTCATTATCCTACAGTGCCACACCATGACTCCAGAATATATATATAGCACCTTATTAGGTGAATAAAAGATATTTTTTCAGACACCACCATTATAATAGATTATATTTTTCTAGACAGAATAGAAGTGCTTGGTTTTACGTGAATGTTTTTGAGGAATCTTTTTTTTTTTTAATCCTAAATTAGCACTATTTCTGTTGTAAAAGTCTAAGTAGTAGAGCATGGAATCTGTAGCCAGTTGCAAATTACAAGGCTTTCAGAGTCTGTATTATTTAACCAGTTATATAGTTTACGTGGAGTGCAGTGGCTTGGTAGGATAAGCAATGGACTTCTAACCTCAGGTCAACAGTTTGAGCCCACCAGCCACTCTTCAGGAGAAAAGATGAGGCTTTCTACTCTCTCAAAGATTTATAGCCTTGGAAACCCTACACAGAGTCGCTATGAGTCGGAATCACCTCAACAGCATTTAATAACAACAGCATGTATTTTATATAACTTTGGAACTCTTTTTTTTATATATAACTAAATTGCACTGTATGATATGCACTGGACTGCTAACCAAAAGTTCATCAGTTCAAACCCACCAGCTGCTCCTCAGAAACCCTATACAGGATGTCTATGAGTCAGAATTGACTTGACGAAACTTGATGACAACAATGTATTAAAGCTTAAAGACTATCTGTAAAAGCATATGGGAAAGATATGACAATAACTTGCTTTCTTTATCTAGGTCCTGGGAACACCAACAAGGGAGCAAATTAGAGAAATGAATCCAAATTACACAGAATTCAAATTTCCTCAAATTAAGGCACATCCTTGGACAAAGGTGAGTCAAAATAAGTTTTCTTTTTTTAAGTACATTAGCTAATAGTTGACTAAAACCTGATTTTTTTTTTTCATTGTTTTTACACTAAACTATTTTGAGTCCAGATAGATGCCTGAATACAAAATGCACACAGCAGTTCTGCATGTAAAATAGCGGAGTTATTGTGCATCAGTCTTTTATTGATGACGCATAGTTTTGTTACCATTGATTTCCTGTCAGCCTTCCAGCTGGATTTTTATTTGCAAGGTGAGGACAGTGTACCTATACCATTGAAATATGGAATTAGACTAGGGACGGGATCTTGTCAAATTCTGAGTAGAAGTTCATAGAAATACAGAAGGACAGTCTCTTATTTACAAAGTTGGAGGTGCTTAATCCAATATCTTATGGCATATAATAATATATATTTCTTGTTTTTTCCCTATAATATAGACCTTATATAGATGGTTTAATGATTTTCTCCTCTTGCTTTCTTTACTATTAGAGCTTTGGGAACAGGAATGAAAAGCAGATGTTATCTTTCCAGCAATATATGTTGGGAACAGTTGTTCTGTTAGCAGGATCTTACTAGTTACTGTAAAGCTTAACCTCAACATCAGATGGCACCAAGTGTAAAGCGCACAAGCACTCATTTACCAGGAGACTTTGTGTTTATTAATTTTGCTTTGATACTCAATTGAAATGATTTAATGATTTTAAGAGAGATTTTTAAAAAAATTCCCACATCTGTTTGATAGGGTTTATATAGCAAGATTGAATTGTTAGCCTCTTTATTTTGTAATTTTAAAATTTAGGCTATAGGTACTTAGTTAAGTAAGATTACATAGATAGTTTGTGCCAGGTCAAGAATAAATGTCTAGTCTTTTTTCTTTCTTTTAATGCCAGTTATTTGTTGTTTTTGTTTTTGTTTTTTCCCAAACTTATAGTCATGTGTCATGTCTCATCTACTCCCTCCCCCATGCTTTTCAACTTAGCTTAGTTTCACTGGAATTTTTTGTAAGTTTGAAATGATCAATTTTTTAATGTTTCATTTGTTGTTGTTAAGTGCCGTCGAGTTGGTTCTGACTTGTAGCAACCCTGTGTAGGGTTTCCAAGGAGTAGCTGGTAGGTTTGAACTGCTGACCTTGCATTTCAAACCAACCTTGCGGGCCAGAGCTTTACCCTGCAGCGCCACACTAGGACACTTAGGTTTCATTAGGACTTGTATATGACAGTTTGTTATGACCATGGGTAAATTTATTTAATTAGGTCTTCATCTTTTAAAATAAGTGGTAAAATAATTTTGGGCTATCTGTGAAATAGTTTCCGGGTGTGCAAATGGTTAACACACTCAGCTGGTAACTGAAAGAATGGAGGTTCAAATCCATCCAGAGGCACCTCAGAAGGAAGGGTATGGTGATATACTTATAAAAAAGCAGCCATTGAAAACCCTTTGGAGCAGTCCTATTCTGATACACATGGGGTCGCCGTGAGTCGAAATTGATTTGACAGCAACTGAGTTTTTAATAGGCAAAGTTATTTATACTCTTTAGAATCAAAATTTGTCTCTTTCTCTTTAGATTGATTGTATTATGATTCTATTTACTCATTCAGAGTCTCACAATTTTATTGCCTCTCTTCAGAGGAGCTCTTATTATTATTAATCTTTTATTAGACTAAAAGATCTCAGTATTGTTTTAGTGCTAGAATTATAGGTTGTCATTTTTACAGGCCCAGAGACCAAGGTACTTGCCCCTCTTTAATTTAAGTACTAACTAGTCAGAGAAAAGATTGAAATTGTCAAGGACTTCATTCTGCTTGGATCAACTGTCAATGCTCATGGAAACAGCAGTCAAGAAACCAAACGCCGTATATTGCATTGGGCAAATCTACTGCACAAGAGTTTTTTAAAGTGTTGAAGAGCAAAGATGTCAGCTTGAGGACTAAGGTGCGCCTGACCCAAGCCATGGTATTTAACCTCATATGCATGCGAAAGCTGGACAGTGAATAAGGAAGACTGTAGAAGAATTGATGCCTTTGAATTATGGTGTTGGAGGAGATTATTGAAAGTGCCATGGACTTCCAAAAGAACCAATAAATCTGTTTTGGAAGAAGTGCAGCCAGGGTGCTCCTTGGAGGCCAAGATGGCCAAATTTCGTCTCTCATACTTCGGCCATATTGTCAGGAGGGAGCAGTCGCTGGAGAAGGATATCATGTTTGGTAAGGTTGAAGGTCAGAGAAAAGGAAGAAGACCCCCAACAAGATGGATTGGCCAAGTGGCAGCATTGATGAACTCCCAAGAGTGGCAACGGTAGTGAGGTTGGCCCAAGATCGGGCAGTGTTTCGTTCTGCTGTGCATATGGTCACTATGGGTCGGTAGCAACTGAATGGCACCTAACAACAAAAATCTTGAGATAAATGTTCTTTGATTTTTATAAGGTTTCATTTGCATCTGGGTCGGAAGATACTTGAAGAACTCTCACCTGGTTCTAAACCCATATAGGCCACAGAATCCCAGGTGGCCTGTTTGGATTTAGGAACTCAGGTACACTTTGAGTCCAATTAAACTCAAAATCCATTAGACTCAAAGTTATCCCAAGTTAAAGAATTTTTAATAAGTGATTTGCAGTATGCTGTAATTTCAGTCATGTTAAGAAAGAAGACAGTTGTGCACTTAGAATAACCAGTTGCTATTGAGTCAGCTGTGACTCATGGTGACGCCATGTGTGTGAGAGTAAACTGTACTCTGTAGGGTTTTCAATGGCTGATATTTTGCATAAGTAGATCGCTAGGTCTTTCTTTGTGGTAACTCTGGGTGGACTCAAACCTTCAATCTTTTGGTTAGTAGCCGGGCACATTAATCGATTTTACCACCGAAAATCTCGTGTGGCGAATTCTGCTGCTGCTGTTGCGTGCCATGAAGTCAGTTCAGACTAATAAAGACCACTCTGTACAGGCTTTCTGAGGCTGTAAATCTTACGGGAGCAGAAAGTCTCATCTTTCTCCAGAAGAGCACCTGTGGATTCCAACTACTGGCCTTATGGTTGCAGCACAAGGTGTAACCCACTATGTAACCAGGCCTCCTCATGTATATAATAAACATACAAAGTAATATTCAAAAATGGTAACAGTAGTTTGAGACTTTCTTTGTTGTATTTTTCAATATTTCTATATTTTCTTCACCAAGCATTTTTTTTTTTTAAGAAAGGAAGAGAAACTTTTTTGATGTACATATCACATGTTATCCTTAATATTGAGAATGGAATGTTGAAATTAAGGTCATGAAGTTCTTTATAACATTTCCCATCCTAATTTTTTCTTTTCTTTTAAATAAATATGCCCCCATAGTAGTGTTTGTCATATTGTCTTAACTTTCTCTTGGATTATATCTAATGCAAACATTAGCCAGTGAGAAATATGTTTATATTTAAAATATAACATAGTTAAAATACAGTCTACATAAGAGCTATGGTGAATTGTTATGTCTTATCCTATCCTTTGCCCTTTTGAAATTCTCTTTATATCTTACATATTTAATGCTTCTCAAACTTGAATACTTTATATAAAGCCCTTTTATTTGGGTTTCTATTTCTAGGCTATGTGTAGAACAGTGACTCAAATCACCCACTGTTTTTGTTGGTGAAACTGTGATACTTTCATACAGTGCTTATTAACTTACTTGCTTTTCACATGTTACAAAGGTAGGAAATACATGTATGTAAGTTTCTCGTTAGTGTACACAGCTAGGATGATGATACCTGGTTGTAACAAAGAAGGAATTTCGGGCACAGAAATTCCCTGGCACTTCTCTGTCTAGTATGATCCAGAATATACTAACATTGATTATTAATAGGGCTTTATTAAAATAGAAATGCTAATTTTTCATTTCTTAGAAGGCACTCAATGCCATCTTCCCCTATTAGGGTAAAAATAAAATACTGCTAGTGAGTTGATTCCAAAGAGGGTCATAGTCACCCTGTAAAACACAGGAGGACTGCTCCATAGGATTTCTGAAACTAAATTGTCACAGGAGCCGGTGCCTCATCTTTCTCCCTTGGAGTAGCTGGGAGGTTGTAAGTGCTGGCCAGTGCTTAACCCACTGTGCCCCCAGACTCATTTCTATTATAACAGTAGACACAGACTTGAGAATGTGCTCTTATGCTTAATAATCAAAAGAGTCATTCAAAAAATAAAGCCATATATGTTGTTGTTGTTAGATGCCATGGATTTGACTTTAAATCATAGTGACCCCCTGTGATAGATAGAAAGAACTATGCAGTGTTCTCTAAAAGGTAACTGCTTTCTGCTTTTGAAAGATTTATAAACAGGAGTACAAAAACAGAAACTGCTTTGCCTTTATTGTTGCCTTCTGTTAGAGCCCACTTTGATAGCATTTAATGAAGCTCTGGTCACGTAAATCCTGGTGCAGCAGTGTCCCTAAACCAGATGGTGGAATTCTCACAAAATTGGCCAGAAATAAAGATCAAGAAAGGAAATGTCTTCTGTGTAAACAACGAGATGAGCAATGCAACTTTGTAGACAGATAGTAGAAGAACAAAAATAGTAAAATGTTCCCAGTGTAGTAAATGGCAGGAGTGCTGTGGAATTAAAAATCCAGTTAAGTTACCCTCATTTTTGTTGTTAATTGTAGTCGAGTTGGTTCCTACTCATAGCGACCCAGTATAGGATGTCTAAAGAACAGCTGGAGAGTTTGAGCTGCCATCCTTGTGATTCAAACTGACCTTGTGGCCTTGCATTTATGCTACAGCACCAACACAAGAACTCCAACAATTACATAATGTGGAATGTTGAAATCATTGTACAATATCATTAATATCACATGCAATGAAATTTTTGCTAAAGATCATTCAAAAATGGTTACAGTAGTATATCCACAAGTAGCTGCCAGAAATTTAAGCCATATTCAGAAGTGGAATGAGAGATAATCATTGCTGTCAGATGGATCTTGGCCTAAAGCAGAGAATACCAGAAAGGTGTTTATTTGTGCTTTATTGACTGTG